CCGCGCCGTTGCGCGGGAAGCTCGCTGAGCCTGCCCGACGAGGAGGAGGAACTGGGTGGCCGGGAGGGAGGAGGATCCCGCCATGGCTTAGCTGTGCGAGAGGGCTTGCGTTGTTATCAGGGCTGATGGGAGGAGAGAGGCCTTGTGTTTGGGTTTCAGCGTAAGGGGGAGAGGCTGTGTTCGCCTTGGCGTGCGCTCCCTGTCGCGTCGACAAATGGTAGTAAGGGTTTCCGAGAGGCCTGCCGATGGCTGAAATCTCCCGGGGGGGGAGGGGGGAACTGTGGGAAGCTGTAGTAGAAGCAAGAATTTCTTGGAGCCTGCTGGCTTGCATGAGGGGAGATAAGACAGGTGTTAGTGGTTTGAAAGACAAGTTTTCTCTGGATCTCTTCCTAACTGTGGTATTGGAGGAAACGGAAGAATACATTCATGCTAACTTAACTGTGAAGGTTGTAGCGCAGTGACGATCCAGAAGACTTTTGCAGCTGAAGATTTTTCAAAGTAAAAAACTTGATTGCTTCTGTACTTTCCCAAAGCTTACCTACTGCACTTCCGGGTGGGAGGGCTAAACCTAAACAGTATTGCTGTTATTTTTGTAGTACTTGAGAATTTTTTGTCAATGGGGTGATAACATCCATCTTCTGCTTTAAACTGCTCAAAAAGAAGAGGATTTTCTTATATTATTTTGGAGTGAGGTTTCTCCCCACGTGTGGTTAAATCTTAGTGGATATTAGCTTCTAGCGACATCCATTGTGGTTGGTATTAGAACTTATTTCACAAAAAAATCAGTAGTAATAACAAAGTTGCCATAGCTGCCCCTTTGGGTGACTTGAAAACTCTGAAACACTTCCCTCTACTCCCTTCCCCCTGTCGTGATGTATTTTTGTGCTGTGCTGTATTTTAAAAGAAAGAGAGAGTCCCAGTTCAGATAAGACAGTTCACTTATCTTTTGTGTGGTCGAAGTTGTTGTGGTTAAAGCTGCAGAAAGCATTTAGTTTAAATGTGTGGTGTTCCTCCCCCCTTAGCATTTTTTTCATGTTGTTAAGTTGGGAGGCAGGAGAAATGTTTGCTTTTGGCTTTTTAAAGTTGTGTCTGAATCACCAAGTTGGGAATTTCCCATTTTCAAACAAGAGTTACTTTATTTTAGAGCTGGCTAAACCAAGTTTTAATTTGTCTCAAAAACAACATGTAAGGACAAATACCTGTCTTGCTAGACTTTTGTAAATCCAAGCAATTTTTAATTCTCCTTGAAAAATGCTGTTATAGAGGTAAGCTATACGCATCAGGAGAAATTGAGCTCAGGAAGTTTTATTAATGAAATAATGTTTTTTTTTTTTCCTGACTTAATCAAGTGTGATTGTTCAGATAGGTGTTCAGTTACACATTTTCTGAGCTCTAAAAGGAAAGGAGTTGGTTAACCCTGGAAATAGGAAGTAAATGGCTTCGGGCATGTCCGTGCAGGTAGAGGAGATAAGGGGTTTCTCGTTTTATTTCTGAAGATGAGAAAGAATTTTTTGCCTCCTTCTCTTTAATCAAGTTAAGATGACTTAATCCTTAGCCTAAAATTGAAAAATAAACTCTTTTAAAATGTGTGACTCAAAACCATAGAAATCCATCTCTTAAGATGCTGTTCAGTTTTGTTGTTTCAGAAACAGTGCCTTGTTTCTTCTTCTCAGTCCTCCCTTGATGATTTAGAAAGGGGAGAGCTGTCCCTGTCCTTGTTGAGGCCAGTAGGGGCTTAGAGTTGATCCTTCAGCCTAAGAGGAAATGTTGCTGTGTTCGTTCCGAGTTTGCTTCTTTTTTTTTAATGAAGTTTATATGAGCATCATTAAATGCAACCTTTCTGAAAGAGATGTTATCATAAATCCCTATAGTCAGTGGGCTAGTTCAGAACAAAACCTTTCCCCTGTTAAAACACAGAAATGTATTTTACTTTCAGCTTAAATTTGTGCATCGGTTTAATAAGGGTTTTGT